GTGATGGTGAATTCTTTGGTTGACGTTTTGTTGTGTGTGGTCTGTATTGTGAAAGGAATGGGGAATGGTAATTCGAAAGAGTTTGCAGAGGAGTTGTTCGACGCATTGTGTAGGAGAAGAAGAATAATGGTTGATAAGATTACAGTTCAAGAACTATACGAGTTTTGGTACCAAATTACTGACGAAAGCTTCGATGCTCGGCTTCAAATCTTCTTCAACATGTACTATTTTATTGTTATCATCAATTGAAAATATATTACTTCTTGATATATATGAGTTAAGTTCTTGATATGTTTTTGTCATATTATTATTATGCAGGGTGAACAAAAATGGAGATGGTAAAATCACAGAGAATGAAGTTAAAGAGGTGACTTATGTTTTCTTCTTTTCGTTTTAAGAGATGACTTGTGTTCCATTTTAGTATCCTAATCAGCATTATTGAGTCGTTGACTACGTTAAAAACATTCAAGCGTAACCAATACTTATAGGTCTTTTTTACTTGTGTACCATTATCTTTCATTTCAGTTGAATATTTCTATTATTATTTATATATTATTGTTGCTGGTTTATTTAAAAACTTAATTTTGGTTGGCTATGTTGATCTTGATGTGATACTTTCCCATGTCTGTCCCTTCTAACCAATGCAAGAATAGAAAACTTGATTTTCAAAACAAAAAATCTACACAAAGTTTGATTGACATAGCAAGCAGCCTGTTTTCAATAAAGAAACATTTGTTACTAACTACCAATCAAAAATATTCTTTTTTTCTTTCTATAACCACTAAGTTTACGTTGAATCTTTCAAATACAAGGTTCTTTTTGGGATTTAACTTATTGTATGATTTTCCTTTGATTTTGACAACCTATAGATTATTATACTAAGTGCATCAGCAAATAATCTATCAAGGTTGAGAGAACGAGCAGAAGAATATGCAGCACTGATCATGGAAGAACTAGCTCCGGATGGACACCACTCTCAGTACATAGAGGTGGTTCACTATCACTTTTATCTCCGTAACACAAAAACATGCTTAAATACCACAAAGTTATCGATATGGTGTGTAGATCAGTCCCTTTCTATATGAAGGAGAGTAGAAGGGTTCTTAGTTGGTTTGATGACACTGAGCTCTTACCTTTCAAGTTCTCTGATAGGGACATTTGACTGAGTCAAGAAACCAATGAGCTTAAAGCTAAGTGCTATGCTAGTTTGTTTTGGTATGGAATTAATAGAATAGATAGCTGACTAAGACAAACAAGTAGAAGTCCACAAACAGAGCTTTAACTGATTCTCAAAACCAATCTCCAGTTCTTTGCATAGTTTCCTTTGTTTGAGACTGACACAAGATGTGTAGTAGAATACTGTTTGAACACTTAAGTATCAGACCAAGGAACTCTGTTCAACATTCTGATGGTTACGGATTTGAAATGATGCAGTTAAAGGAATTAGAGATGCTACTACTCCAGAAGGATATATCTCATAGTTATAGCCAACCGTTCAGCCAGACAAGCCGAGCCTTAAGCCAAAACCTAAAGGATACAAGATGGGGAATGAGAAAGAACTTGCTTTACTCTTTGCAAGACAATTGGAAGAGGATTTGGATTTTGACATTGTGGTTAATGATCATGGCCGGGCTTTTTATGTGGAAATTCGTTCAGTACAAACGCAAAGACGCATTCCATGTAATGGGTTACTGCCTAGTCGTGGCAAAAGGAGCAGCTGAAACACTCAAATTCAACATGGCTCTTATCCTTTTGCCAGTTTGCAGAAACACTATCACCTATCTCAGATCCACCGCTTTGTCCTACTCGGTGCCTTTCGATGACAGTATCAACTTTCACAAGGTTTCTTCAAACCATTTCGTCTTGCCTTTAATATATTGAGAGAGTATACTTCAGCTTAACCTTACTTAATGGTTTTTGGTTACTCGCAGACAGTATCTATAGCAATCATTATTGGAGGGGTTGTCCACGCATCCAGCCACCTCGCTTGTGATTTCCCGAGGATTATAACATCTACAGAAGCTGATTACAAAAGATACTTGGTTCATTACTTTGGTGTGACCAGACCCACATACTTTGACTTGGTTAAGGATCCTGTGGGAATCACTGGATTTATAATGGTTATTTTTATGGTTATTGCATTTACATTAGCCAGTCGAAAATGCAGGAGGAACCTTACTAAGTTGCCAAAGCCATTTGACAAGTTAACCGGATTTAATGCCTTCTGGTATTCACATCACTTACTTCTAGCTGTTTACGTCCTGTTAATCGTCCACGGAGTTTCCCTCTATCTCGAACAGAAATGGTACCGCAAAAATGTAAATTTTGGAAACTCTTTTAGCATTTTTACTTCTTTTTTTTTGTGTTCTTAAGTAATCGGCAGTGATATTAATAACAGATGCTGCCTCCTGTAGATATGGATGTATCTTGCTGTGCCGGTTTTACTCTATTCTGGTGAAAGGATCCTCAGATTCTTTCGTTCCAGGCTTTACTCTGTCGAAATCGGCAAGGTAAAAGTCTCTTTTACGGTTACATTTTGAATAGAAACATTGTTAAATCATCTTCTTATATCTTAGTACTAACACAAATGGTTTGGTTTCAGGTTGTGATTTATCCCGGAAACGTTGTTGTGCTACACATGTCTAAGCCTGCATCATTTGATTACAAGAGCGGACAGTATGTATTTGTTCAGTGTCCTGCAGTATCAAAATTTGAATGGTGAGTCTTTTTTTCCCCATTAGCTTTGCTTCCAATCTAAGAGACATGTATACATACTATGTTCTTAACATAAAGCCATTTCGATCCTAAAATCCATCTCTAGGCATCCATTTTCTATTACTTCTTCCCCTCGAGATGATTATCTCAGTATTCACATTCGTCAACGAGGAGATTGGACAGAAGGGATTAAGAAGGTATTCTCAGGTGTATGTGAAGCTCCTGATCCTGGAAAAAGCGGACTTCTTAGAGCAGACGGACCAAACAGAACAAGGTCCATATCTTATTTAACGTGCATTCTAGTCCCTTTGTTTAACTTGCATTGCTAAAGCACATATGTGAATGTGATAGTGATATTTTTTTTTCTTGTAATTTAGTTTGCCAGAGCTGTTGATAGATGGACCTTATGGCGCACCAGCGCAAGACCATCAGAAGTACGATGTGTTATTACTCGTTGGTCTTGGAATCGGCGCAACACCTTTTATTAGCATTTTGAGAGATCTACTTAACAACATTGTTAAGCAACAAGAACAAGCTGTGAGTATAGTAAATTAAGAAAGAAAAAAACCTTTTGAGGATTAACAGAATCTGAACTGACTTTTTTCGAGTTATGTTATATTTCTAGGAATGCAGCTCAGGTAGTTGTAGTAACAGCAATATCTCGTCGGATCACAGTTTCAGTTGCTTAAACTCTGATGCTCGGAATAGGATTCCCGAAAATCAAAGGAGAACGTTGAACACGAAGAACGCTTACTTTTATTGGGTAACACGAGAACAAGGCTCATTCGATTGGTTCAGAGAAATCATGAACGAAATCGCTGACTCCGATAGAAAGGTAAATAAAAATACACTTATTGAGCTTAGAACTTGATTGTTTTGTTTGCATTTAGACCTTCAAGTTAACTGTATGTGTTTGTGTAAACAAATAAAAGGGTGTTATTGAGATGCACAACTACTTGACTAGTGTCTACGAAGAAGGAGATGCTCGATCCACTCTTCTCACGATGATCCAGACTCTAAACCATGCCAAAAATGGCGTCGACATTTTTTCTGGAACCAAGGTAATGAAATGAATCTTTAGCAATTGTACTTTTATCTTTGTATACAACAACACTCAGGTTTCTTATCTGGTATGCAACTTTTTGGTATTTTTTTTAGGTACGAACACATTTTGGGAGGCCAAAATGGAAGAAAGTTTTATCAAAGATTAGCACCAAACATAAGAACGCAAGAATCGGTATTAAAAGAAAATCAGCTCACAGAATTTAGTAATGATAATTCATCATGGTTTGTGTTTTTTTGCGTTGTCTGAAAAATGCTTTGATTGTGTTCATTTGAAAAAAAACAGGAGTGTTCTATTGTGGAGGAACGAGTTTGGGGAAGGAACTCTCTACACTCTGCCATGAATTTAATCAGACGGGATGTTCGAGGTTTGAGTTCCACAAAGAACTGTTCTAAGTAAAACTAAAAATAAGATCCCCCCACAGTTTATGGTTTTTGAATGAATTGAATCAATGTATATCGGTATATATGTAAAACCATCAATTCATGTCAATCTCTTCGTTTCATTCTCATATCTATGTTCTCTAGTTTTCTTATGTATTCTTTGTGTGTATTACCTATCTTTTTAACCATTCGATATCGAGTAGGACTGTCAAAAGTACAAAAAATCACAGTTACAGCTTGCGAGAAAAC